CCCCCCCCCCCTTGCTCCTTTGCACGTGTATGAGGTATGTCTGTGTGGGAGGTGCGAGCTTGGGGAGGGCTGTGGACCTCATGGTCAGGAGTGAGTTTAGCAAGCATTTATTGAGCTCCTACAGTCACACAGCAGGTGAGCAGATCACAGCCAAATTCAGTTGGCCTGGATCCTGCACGTCTTGGTCGGCCTGGTATCCTCAAGGGTGGCTGGACTAGGGCTGAGGTCAGGGAGCAGGATGGGGCATAGCTTCTACTCCACAGCCCAGGTCCATAGTGCTGTTTCCACATGATGAGGAGTCTACAACCCTAAGGCACTGCCTAGGGAGGTGCACAGGGAGTCTGGGCAGCTCTACACACTTCATCCTGACCAGGAGTCCTGGATGCTCTCCTAGCCCACCAACAGTCCCCTTACCTCAGCTCAGGGCTGTGGCATGCTCCCGCACCTGGCCCGTTACAGCTGGTAGTACCCGAGAGTATACTGCAGGGCTGGCAAGCCAGGTACTGTGGCCACTGACTCATGGGACATGAAGGCTGCCACCTTAGGAGCTCCAACAGCCAAGACTGCTGGGGGAAGGGAAGGGCCAGCACTCAGACCCCGCTAGGGTCAGAACCACCTCAGTGGGGGCTGCCATTCTCAAAGACGCTCCGTGTCATGGACGTGACTGTAGGTTAGTATAAAGACATTAACTGGTTCCGCCTGCGATCTGCCCGTATGACCAGCTCTCCCCACTAACCCGAGGCCGTGGCGCATGTGCGGCCTGTGTGGCCGAACGCTGCACCACCAGCTCCGGGAGTCACCAGCTGCTGCAGAGAGGCAACCGGCCCCTCTGCAGCACAGTTGGGTTAGGTGGAGTGCTCACTGGTGGTGGACCGCGACAGGGGGGAACTGCCCAAAGCGCGAGGACCCACCCCCAGGAGGAAGCCCCGCCCCATGGCGCAAGGGGTCGCCGCCGAGAGGAAGCTCAATACCAGAAGGCGGGCCCGCCCGCTGAGGTTCCACCACCCACGTGGAAGCCCCTCACCGCCAGCTTCCATGCCAGCAGCCGCTCCAGCTCGTCTCGTGTCACATGCTTCCCTGCTCCGCGGAGTACCGCAGGCAAATGCTCTCGATACCTGGGGAAGGGCGGTGACAGGAGTCTGGGTAAAGGGGTTGCCCGGCCTACCGATGCCCCCACCGCTCTACCATCGGTCCAGGGCTTCAAGTCGCCCCTGGGGACCCGCTCGAGGCCCCACCACCTCCCCGTGGCGCGCCAGGGTGGCGGCCGGAAGGCTCGAGTTCCCTCAGCCCCACAGCCCGCGGGGGGCCGCGAAGTTCGAGCGCCGGACCGGGCCTCGGATGGGCGTGGGCGGGGCCGACTTCTGGAGGGACAGCACCTGAACGCGAGGGGCGGAGCTCTCCGGTGCAAACCTGGGCGCCTCACATTTCCGACGTCGCGACTTGCGTTGCCCCCGCCCTCGAGCCCGTCAGCCCCGCCCCCACAGGACTTCGAGCGCACGCGCAGCCCCGCCCTTCCAAGTCGCAGCGTCCGTCCCGCTCACTCCGCCCCACGCGGCCGGAAGTTCCGGTGGCGGATCGGCGGACCGAGCCCGAGCGGTTCGTGGGCTCGGGCTGCGGGCTTGGGCTGCGGGCTTGGGGGAGCCGGGCGCAGAGCCCAGGCCGTGCCGCGCGGCGCCATGAAGGGCAAGGAGGAGAAGGAGGGCGGCGCGCGGCTGGGCGCAGCTGGCGGAAGCCCGGAGAAGAGCCCGAGCGCGCAGGAACTCAAGGAGCAGGGCAACCGGCTCTTCGTGGGCCGCAAGTATCCGGAGGCGGCGGCCTGCTATGGCCGCGCCATCGTGAGTGCACCCGCGTCGGGAGAGGGGACCGGTATCCTGACCAGGGGAGGGGGTGGGACCTGCCAGGCCGCCCCCTTCGGACCTTAGGAAGGTCTTGGTTCCCACGGGGGAGGGGCACTTGGGCTCTGAGGTCTCGATTTCGTTCTCAAGATGCCAAGGCCTCACGATTCTTGAACCCTGTGCTGGTCGCTGGAGAACTATGGCGGGTGGGAGCTTCAGGGCACTTGAGACCGGCAGACCCAGAGACTCCAGCCAGGTCCAAAGCTGGAGATCTCCACAGGTCTGAGAAACTAACTTTTAGAAAACCTACTGGAGTCAAGAAGGCTCAGGCAGGCCTCAGCCAGGACATCATCCTCCACCCATCCTCGGGGCTCAAAGGCTTTGAAGCTGTAAAACCTCTAGTGTCTTTATTCCAACCATGGACCCCAAGCCAGGACAGGCCCTGGGACATGGAGCAGGCAGAGTTCACTCCCTCATGCTGACTGGCCTCCCCCTGTCCTCAGACTCGGAATCCCTTGGTGGCAGTGTATTACACCAACCGGGCACTGTGCTACCTGAAGATGCAGCAGCATGAGCAGGCGCTGGCTGACTGCCGGCGCGCCCTGGAGCTGGATGGGCAGTCTGTGAAGGCACACTTTTTCCTGGGGCAATGCCAGTTGGAGATGGAGAGCTACGATGAGGCGATTGCCAACCTGCAGCGAGGTGGGCCTACAGGCTGGCTGGTTATGGGGGTACTCGGCCAGGCGGGTGGACTGGCTAGAGGGTGACCTGAAGCCTCTGTTTCTCCAGCCTACAACCTGGCTAAGGAGCAGCGGCTTAACTTTGGGGATGATATCCCCAGTGCTTTGCGCATCGCCAAGAAGAAGCGCTGGAATAGCATCGAGGAGCGGCGCATCCACCAGGAGAATGAGCTGCACTCCTATCTCACGCGACTCATTGTGGCTGAGCGTGAGAGGTGGGCTGTGAGGACACTCTAGGACCCACTCTGTCACCCCCTGCCCCCACAAGTCACCACTTTAAGTCATGAACACAAGTGTTTATTGAAAGCCAGCCCTGGTGAACAGGAGATAGAGGGGGACAAGGCCTGAACAAGCCTGAGGTTGGGGTGGAGTCTGACTTTTCCTGGTCAGACCTGTCTCTGACCAGCTCCTGGTCAACCCCCAGGGAGCTGGAAGAGTGTCAGCGGAACCATGAGGGTGACGAGGATGATGGTCACATCCGGGCCCAGCAGGCCTGCATCGAGGCCAAGCACGTGAGGGTGCCCCGGCCCATGTGTGGGTCCTGTGTTTGCGTGCTTGTGATGTGAGGGTGCCCCTGGCTCCTGTTGGGTCTGTGTGTGCCTGTGTCTGGGAAGGGAGAAGGGATGTCTGGCCCACGCATGGCTGCTTGGTTCTTTGCAGGACAAGTACTTAGCAGACATGGATGAGCTCTTCTCCCAGGTGGATGAGAAGAGAAAGGTGAGTTGGCTACTCTCTAGGGCCTGTGGGTAGCAGGAGCTGTAGTAGTGTTCCCTTCCTGATTCCTAACCTTACCCTGTGTGAAGCAGAAGCGAGACATCCCTGATTACCTGTGTGGCAAAATCAGCTTTGAGCTGATGCGGGAGCCGTGCATCACACCTAGTGGCATCACCTATGACCGTAAGGACATTGAGGAGCACCTGCAGGTGAGGGCCCATGGGTGCTGGGGGCAGGGCCCTAGCTCACCAAACATCTTCTGACTCTGTTGTCACTGCAGCGTGTGGGCCACTTTGACCCTGTGACCCGGAGCCCTCTGACCCAGGAACAGCTCATCCCCAACCTGGCCATGAAAGAGGTCATCGATGCATTCATCTCTGAGAATGGCTGGGTGGAGGACTACTGAGGCACAGCAAGTGGGAGGGCCACTCGCCTCACCTTGCCTGGCACCCTGGCCCAGGAGGGCCTTGGGGAGTAGCCCCCAGCCCCTGTATATAGTTTGTGTCCCTGGATCTCTGCTCTGGTATACCCATCCCACCTATCAGTTCTGCTGGTAGGCCATGAGCCCGCCCCATCCCCCCTTTCCCCTTCTGGGCCTGGAACAGCAGGCTATGGTGGTTTGGGCTGAGGCTGCTGCTGCCACTGTCCTTGTAATAAAACCTGTGAGCAGTATAGGGATGTGTGCTGGTGTGCGACTGGGCTCGCCAGCTGCCTGTTCTGGCTAGCTGAGGAAGGTAGAGATGAAAACGCTGGTGTCGAGGTTGAGTGTGGCATGCCACCATCGGTCAGGGAAATAAAGAACCTGGATTGGGTGGGGCACAGGGATTAGTGGGGGCCCTCAGTCCAGCCAAGCCTGACCCCCTCCTACTAGGCACTGACCTCACCAGCCTGGATTGTACACTCCAAGGGTCGTGTAGATGGTGTCAGGGCTGGGTAGGTGTCCTGGAGCCAGGCCAGAGTGGTCTTATTGGGGTGGAACTCGGGTGTCTTCTCAGGGGGATACAGGAACCAGCGCTGCGGGTGGGAGCAGCAAGGTCACTCTTTGTGTTGTGGTGAGTGAGCCACAAGTCACAGTCATGACCCTGTGCTGACCTTTCGTCCGTAGATCACTTCTGAGAACCCGGGCCCGTGCCAGTGGAAGGGCACCCCAGAGCCAGTTCCTATGGGGTTATGAGCAGCTGGTGACCAAACTCAGTTTGCACTACTCACTCCCCAGATCCCCTAGTCCTATAAGGCACCTACCTGCAATCCCAAAGCTGTAAGCAGGAGTGGTACCCAGTAGACCAAATGGAGGTGGAATGTAATGCCGAAAAAGTGATGCCCATTCAGTGAAGTTGTTGTCCCCAAAAAAGTACAGGGTGTCTGCCAGCAAAGAACACAGGAGGGTGCAAGGATCCTGGGACCTGGGCACTCCCAAGTGCCACCTCCCCTACCCGCTGCTGCCAGCCCAACTGCTCACCATTGCCCAGGGAGGTGGGGTTCTGGGGGTGCAGCAGCTGCTCCACATACTCCTGGAAGAGTAGGTCCACTGTAAGGAAAGGATCGGTCAGGACTGGTTGATGCTGCCTCCAGGATGCCAGCAAGCAGACTGGGCTGTGAGGCGGAGCAGCTCACCTTTCTGGTAGGAGTAGGTGTTAGCAGTGCTCAGCCGAACCACATTGTCCCCAAAAGATGCCAGAAGCCTTTTGCGGGAGCACAGAGCCCGGAACCTCTGCGGAGGGGTGGGGGTGGAGAAAGGACTTAAGGGCTCCGGCCTCGCACAGGCGAAAGATGGCCAGGAGGGGAGCCCGCACTCACTGAGTTGTCTGTGAGCCCTTGCAGAATGACAGGTCTGGAGAAGGCGTATCTGGAAGGAAGGGCAGAGTCACGGTTGAGTCTGACCCATGCCNTGTGTGCTGGTGTGCGACTGGGCTCGCCAGCTGCCTGTTCTGGCTAGCTGAGGAAGGTAGAGATGAAAACGCTGGTGTCGAGGTTGAGTGTGGCATGCCACCATCGGTCAGGGAAATAAAGAACCTGGATTGGGTGGGGCACAGGGATTAGTGGGGGCCCTCAGTCCAGCCAAGCCTGACCCCCTCCTACTAGGCACTGACCTCACCAGCCTGGATTGTACACTCCAAGGGTCGTGTAGATGGTGTCAGGGCTGGGTAGGTGTCCTGGAGCCAGGCCAGAGTGGTCTTATTGGGGTGGAACTCGGGTGTCTTCTCAGGGGGATACAGGAACCAGCGCTGCGGGTGGGAGCAGCAAGGTCACTCTTTGTGTTGTGGTGAGTGAGCCACAAGTCACAGTCATGACCCTGTGCTGACCTTTCGTCCGTAGATCACTTCTGAGAACCCGGGCCCGTGCCAGTGGAAGGGCACCCCAGAGCCAGTTCCTATGGGGTTATGAGCAGCTGGTGACCAAACTCAGTTTGCACTACTCACTCCCCAGATCCCCTAGTCCTATAAGGCACCTACCTGCAATCCCAAAGCTGTAAGCAGGAGTGGTACCCAGTAGACCAAATGGAGGTGGAATGTAATGCCGAAAAAGTGATGCCCATTCAGTGAAGTTGTTGTCCCCAAAAAAGTACAGGGTGTCTGCCAGCAAAGAACACAGGAGGGTGCAAGGATCCTGGGACCTGGGCACTCCCAAGTGCCACCTCCCCTACCCGCTGCTGCCAGCCCAACTGCTCACCATTGCCCAGGGAGGTGGGGTTCTGGGGGTGCAGCAGCTGCTCCACATACTCCTGGAAGAGTAGGTCCACTGTAAGGAAAGGATCGGTCAGGACTGGTTGATGCTGCCTCCAGGATGCCAGCAAGCAGACTGGGCTGTGAGGCGGAGCAGCTCACCTTTCTGGTAGGAGTAGGTGTTAGCAGTGCTCAGCCGAACCACATTGTCCCCAAAAGATGCCAGAAGCCTTTTGCGGGAGCACAGAGCCCGGAACCTCTGCGGAGGGGTGGGGGTGGAGAAAGGACTTAAGGGCTCCGGCCTCGCACAGGCGAAAGATGGCCAGGAGGGGAGCCCGCACTCACTGAGTTGTCTGTGAGCCCTTGCAGAATGACAGGTCTGGAGAAGGCGTATCTGGAAGGAAGGGCAGAGTCACGGTTGAGTCTGACCCATGCCTCCCCTCCCCTCCCCTTCCCATTCGCTGGAGGAGATGCTCAGGGGGAGGCGGCCTTTGGAGGTCCCAGTGCGCTGCAGGCAAACAAGGACGTGACAACATCGACCCAGGGTGACGGAGCTTCTGGACAGGTTTTCGGGCGTGGGAGGTGTGGCAGTATGGGAGGGCGCACGTACTGCTGAATGAACTCGGCGTAACTGAGGTCGACCCGGCGCTCCACGGTGCAGTGCTCTTCTTCCGCTATGGCCACCGGCGCCCCAGGGCCGCGCCGCTGCCTGTGGGCAAGCCGGTCAGCGACCCGAACCACCCCGCACTGCGCCCCTCCCCTGCCGCCCGGCGCCACTCACCACCCTCCGTCGCCCCCTTCTCCAGGACTGGGCCTAGCGGGAGCCGTCAGCGTCCCGAGCACAAGCAGCAACAGATGCAACCTCGGCGCCATGAACCCCCCCGCCGCGAAGCACGACGGGAGCTCCGTCGTTGTGGCAACAGCTCAGGCGTAGGGAGAGCTCCCGGAAGCGGCCTTCTTTGGCCCGCCCCAGAAGGGGTGGAGCTTCCGGGAAGCAGATCGAAGACGACAGAGCTGCTAGGGACTTCTGCCACTTAACATGGGGACATTGCCACCCGCCCACCAGAGTCGCCCAATGAGAGAGAACAGGGCAGCCTCATACTGTGGCTCCATTTCCTTTATTTGATTCACAAGCTCCAGCCCCCGCCCCCAGGTTAGGAGTACTCGCACAGATGGCCGCAACCAGCAGGACAGTGGGAGCTGCCCTCCAGCCACTTCATAATGTGCTGCAGGTGGCCCCCGTGACTGCAGCCCTGGCACCACACGAACAAACCCTTGACCACGTGGTGGCAAACTGCACACATGCTGGCGCAGCGGTGGCACCTGTCGCAGACCCAGCCACGGCTGCTCATAGGCCGCTTGCAGTGGCTGCAGTTGACGTGCAGGGTAGTGGAGGCCTGGTTGAGGCAGCTGATAGCGCGGCTGGTGCTGAGCTTGACCACCTGGTTGGACACGTTCCAGAGACAGAAACGCTGCAGCAGGTCGATGTAGGATGTGTACCAGTGCTCCTGGTGGTGCAGGGGGAGAAGGGTCATGGGCACACTGAGGGGTTTCACCCCAGCATGCTGGTGTGCAGGGAGGCCCTTCCCCCAGCCTGCTCACCAACCTGGGTCTGCTCATCGATGTCCTTGCGCACACGGTCACCCAACACAATGAGTACAGATACGGCCATCTGCACATCGCCCTGCTCAGCATAAAAGCGTAGCATATCGCACACCAGGGCGCTGAAGAAGTCGGGTGGCAGGCGACTGTCATAGAGTGCGTGTGAGACAGAGATGAGCGAGAAGGAGGAGTCCATGGGTGCCAGTGAGGCCACATCTGCCTCACTGCCGCTCACATGGGGTGAGTCAGCCTTGTCCTGTAGGTTTTCAGGGCCCGGTGGTGTGTCCACAATCTCATGGCGCAGTGGGAAGGCCTCCTGGGGCAGCACATACTCAGGCTCCTCGGCTGTGAGGCAGGGGCCGGGAAGGCAAGATTTGAGCCTCTGGCCCTGCCCCCCAACTGTGCCCCTCCCAGCCCCCACTCACTGTGTGCATGATCTGGATCCAGCAGGTACAACTCATCTTCCTCGCCCTCTACATCACCCAGCAGGTAGTCAGCAGGCACATCACTGCCCTCGGTCTCCTCGTTATCTGCCCACCAGGGAGGGAGGGAGGGAAGGATTTCCACTGCTGGCTTGCTTTGGGATGTCCCAGCCCCCCTCCCAGCAATGTCCTGTGCTGCCCTCCAGCCTACCCTCATTGGTGACGAGTGTGGCAGAGTCGAGCAGCACCGTGTCGCTCCGTGTGTCACCCTTGCTGCGGTCCAGCCGGGTCTCACTGCCTAGTCCTTGGGCCATATCCTTCAGGTTGAAACTGGGGGCAGGGAGGGCTGATAGGTGGGTAGGCTCCAGCAGTCCCACCCTCTGAGAGAGCCGCTGCCAGGGATCTACCTGTTCATGAGTGGCAGGCCACAGGAGCTGCCCTTGCCCACACTGTGGTTGAGATTGGTAGTGGGCACCAGGCCAGGGCTACAGTAGATGATCCGTAGCATGGTCCATGTCTGCGCCACCTAGGGGTGGGCACCAGTCACTCACAGGGTTCTGGGTCCCTGGTGGCCTATGCAGGCCCCTCCTTTGCTACAAACCCTCAGCATTCAGCTGCCCAGAGACCCAATGTCCTGGCCCACCTCAGGTAGGGACACCTAGGCCCATGGTAAAGATAAAAAAATCCCAGCCCCCATCCTGCAGGGCACAGAAGCAAGCAGATGTAGGAGGTGGCCAACGTGGAAATGAGCCTGGGGTTCCAGGGAGATGATGAGAGGCAGTGTGGACCTCTGCAGAGCCAGGCACCTTAGGAAGTCTGAAGCAAAAATGAGATAGAATATGGGGCTTAAGCCCCATGATTCCCCAAAACTGTACCCCCAGGATGGCACTGGTATTTGCCCTGCTCTGGGGTCCTGAGACCCTCAGTTATTGGGGCGGGCAAGGGTTGGTGGACTGAATTCAGCAGGGTCTGGGTGCAGCAGTTGGAGGAGTCCCCTGACCTTGCCCCAAGGTCATGGTCCCTGGGCCCCCCTCAGCCCAGCCCCACCTACCTGGTTTCGTCCAAGCTCCCGAGCCACTTTTGAATTGTGGTCACAGAGCTCAGCCAGTGGCCGGCCAGCCAGGGCATAACGCTCAGCGGTATCCACAAACCAGCTCATGCTGCCACTGCCAGGCTCCATTTCAAAGACACTGAGGGCACTGGAGGCGAGCCCTGCGAAGGGCTCAGCAGGGTCCAGCTTGCGCTTGAAGAAGATGGGGTGGCGCCGATCACCAGCATAAGGTTTGCGCCCTGACTCAGTGGCCACTAGGCTCTCCTTGGCGGCAAAGGCCAGGTCCCCAAAGAGACCATAGCAGAGGCCCTCGGGATTGGCACGCTCAACAGGCTGGCTAGCATCACGGAACAGGTGCTGGCACAGTGTGCTGTCCTTGGAGCCAGAGAGCAGGAAGGAGGGGTCATGAGGATGGCGCCAGGCAATGCCTGTTGTGACGTCGCGGTGCTCCTCAAACATGGCTGCTGGTACAAAGGGCCTGCGCACATCCCACACGTAGATGTTGTGGTCCACCATCATGGAGCATGTAGCCAGGTGGTGGCGGCACTCGGGTCGCCACTTGACTCTGGCCACTGAGGCAATGGTTTGCACACAGTGCACCTCCTTGGCACGTTGCGTGGTCATATCCCAGACCTTCACCATCTTGTCACGCCCACCTGTGGCCAGCCAGCCCCTATGGAAGGCCCATGAAGCCCTCAGTTTCCTCTCCTGGAGTGGGAGGATTCCCCACTCTCTGACTCGCAGGACTTGAGGCAGTGAGAGAGCCCTTCCATGAGGGCCACCCATCCCACCCTGCTGCCCTTGCCCCCAGCCTGCCCTATACCTGTCCTCGGGGTGCCAGTCACAGCAAAAGACAGGCCCGTTGTGGGCTGTGAACATCCTCTCACAACGGTCAGGCCGCCGAATGTCCCAGAGCTGCACATTGCCGTTCTCAAAGGTGGAGGCAAATGTGAAATAGTCCCGGATGCTGAACTGGACGTCCCGCACACTCTCAGACTGGCCTGTGGGTAGGACATCAATGGAGGGAGAAGGCGAGGGGAGCAGCCCACAGGGGACTCCAGAAGGGAGAGTGGCCAAGAAGGGAGCCCTTGGAGTGGCTGTGGACCTTCGGAGTCCTGCCTAGAGTAGACAGGAAGAGGAGAGGCCTCACAGACACCTGGGCTGGGGAGCAGGACACCAGGCATCAGGTGGTTTCTGACATAAATCACTGGACCTCGCTTTTCCCTGGATTCTTCCTCTGATGTCAGTCCTTATACAAAGCTGTGGTCCAGCTTCAGGACTAGGTATCAGAGCACTGGGTGAACAGGAGCCTCATTGGGGTGCCTATCCACACTACCCAAGGAGTTCTAAGGCCCCCAAAGGAGGTCCAAGGAGACACGGATGAGGGTACCCCAGCCTCTGTCCAGTCCCTTCACCTTGAGCTGTAGCTCCAGGACAACTCCAGAGAACTGAAGGCTTTGACGGTCCATGTCCACCACCATAAACTGCCACATCAAGCGCCTTTGAGGGCAGTGTCCAGTTTACCCCAGCGCAGGTATCTCAGGATCTGTCTTAAGAGACCCCCACCCTCAATTCTCCAAGGCCTCTGCCCTGTGCTTCACTTGGTTTCATTGAGGTGGACAAGGGAGAACTGTCTCAAGACCACTGTCAGGGTGCTGGGCCTGCTAGGAATAGAACCATGGTGGGACCAGGCAGTGCACCCCCACCTCCTCTGCATCCCTGGCTGACGGCCCTGCAGGTCCCAGGGGACTTCCTGCAGTGAGGCAGCCTGCAGCTCTGAGGCAAGGGAAGAGGCAGCAAAACAACCATCTGCTCAACCAGAGGCTGACTGTGGGCCTGCTCAAGCTCTGCCCTCTCCCTCATCCAATACCCAGCCTACCCTCCTGCTGGCCTTTCAGGTGCACCATGCTGCAGCCACACTCCAGCTACTCCTCATACTTCAAACTGGCCTGCCCCTGTCCCTCCCCTTCTGACCCCCACCTACTCTTTCAGTCTCAGCTAAGCTGGCCCCTCCCCCAGGAAGCCCTCTGGGAGCATATCTGAAGGCCTTTGATATATGCAGGACTTCTTTTTTTCCCCTTTTAATCCTCACCCGAGGACATGTTTTTATTGATTTTAGAGAGAGAGGAATGGGGAGAAAGAGAGAGAGAAACACCAATCAGTTGCCTCCTGGGATCTGGAACCACCAATCAAGGCCCTATGGGGGATCAAACCCACAACCTAGGTATGTGCCCTGATCGGGAATTGAACCTGCAACCTTTTGGTGTTCCGGAAGACACTCGAACCAACTGAGCCACCTGACGAGGGCTCCATGCAGCATGTCTTAACCTGCCTGGACAGGTCAGCCACCTGCAAAGATGCACACCTGCCCAACCCACCTCTGAGGGTCTCACCTGAGAAGGTGCTGACAGAGTCCTTCCTGCGGAGGTCGAAGCACTTCATGAAGCCATCCTGGGAACCACTGAGCAGCACGTGGGCCTCAGAGGGGTGGAAGCAGACTTTATTCACCGTGCGCTTATGCTCTGTGAACAGCTGGTCCTGTTTGTTGCGGGATGGCCGGCCCAAGTTCCATGTGACTACCACACCATTGGTGGCCGCTGTGGCCAGCAGGTTCTCGTCCATCTGGTGCCAGACAACATCAGCACAGCTCAGGTTGAGCGAAGGCTTGCGGCCCACACGCAGGTTCAGCTTCTCCACAAACTGCTCCTCCTCAATGGCATAGATCTTGAAGATGCTGCGGCCTGCCACAACCACCTGGGCCGCATCACGGCACACACTGATGGCATTGGCTGGAGCATCCAGGTGGCAATGCATAGTATGGCCTGTCAGTGCACTGCCACTCAGGGCTGTGGTCACACGGGACATCTTCTCCATGGCTGCACAGGTAGTGGAGATGAGACAGGAGGTCAGTGAAACTGGCTGGCCTGGTCACCGTAAGGGGAGGGAGTCTGTCTG